ACACACACACACACACACACACACACACACACACACACACACACACATTTATGTGTATTTCATGTAATTTTAGGTAAATAAAACTATGAATTATTATGGCTTTTCAAACATTCTTTTTCATACTTTTATTCTTTTCTCCCTCTCCTGTTATATTAACCTCCTTCCCAGCTTCCCCAACTAATGCCCTATTTTTTCCATTTCCTCTTTTATATCACTCCTTTACTACTGTTCCTCTCTCTAGTGCCCTCCCAGCCGTGGTTTACTTTCCTGGCTTTATGGTTACTCCGGGTCATATACTCACATTTGAAGAATTGGAGCTTGGAAATATATATATGAGAGAACATGTGCCATTTGTTTCTCTTATCTGGGTTATTTCTGTCAATGTAATATATATATATATATACATATATATATATATATATATATATGTATGTATATTAGTTCTAGCTACTTACTTACAAATCCCATTTCATGTTTCCTTGTGGCTGAGTAATATTTCAAGTGTGTGTGTCCCACATTTTTATTACTCACTCATGAGTTGAACGACATTAGGACTATTTCCATTTCCTAGCTATTGTGATTAGAGCTGCCGTGACCATGGCTGAAGAAGTATCTGTTGAGTCCTTTGAGCATACGTCAAGAAGTGGTGTATCTGTGTCATGTGGTAGATTTATTTTTCACTTTCTGAGGAATCTTTGTATCAGTTTTCAGAGTGGGTGCACCAGGTCGCAATTCTGCCAACAGTAACTGAGTATTCCCCTTTCCCTACATCTTCTCTACCATTTTCTGTGGATTGTTTCCCTGACCTTTGCCGTTCTGGCTGTGATAAGATGAAATCTTAAACTTGTTTTGAATTGTATTTTTTAATTGCTAAGGATGATGAACACTTGTGGAGCTACTCCTTAGCTATTTACATTCCTCGTTTGAGAACTCTGCATTTAGATTTGAAAGTTTTTTAATGTTTTTTTTCACTGCTTTATAATATTCTGAATATTAATCTGTCAGATGTATAGCTGGCAGAAGAACCTGTAGATGTATAAATTCTTTCCCACTCTGTGGACTTCCTCTTCACTTAATTGTTTCATCAGTTCTTTTTTTTTCTTTTTTAAAATTTTTTATTTTGTTTCATCAGTTCTGTAGAAACTTTTTGGCTTTATGAGGCCTCAATGTCAATTGTTGCTCATACTTTCTTCACAAATGATGTCTTACTGAAAAATTAAAAATGAATTTTAGGAATTAAACTATAATTTCTCTGCTTTTACTTTACTCTCAAACTTTTCCTAAGTACCTGCCTCTAGCCCCCCATCCCCTTTACTACTTCGCAAATTCATGTCCTGTTTTTCATTATTGTTTTATATATTATTGTTTTATGTATTATTATGTCGCTCTCATAAAATACATTAACACCACACATTGAAACTGTTAAGTGTTTTTTGTGTGGATTTGATTTAGCGGCTTACCACTTGGTATTGAATAACTAATTAGGAGTCTCATCCCTGATGAAGACTTATTCTCTCTCCCTTAGCAGTCATTATTTGTGTGTAGTTTTTTTCTCCTCTTCTTGAAAAAAAGTATTTATTTATTTATTCACTTTATATCCCGATTGTAGCCCCCTCCTCGTCTTCTCCTGCTCCCACCTTCCTTCCCTCTTTCCTCCTCCCCTAGTCCTCAGGAAACGGGAGCCTCCCCACCAATCCACTCCAGCACATCAAGTTACATCATGACTGAACGCATCCTCTTCCCCTGTGATCTGGGAAGGCAGCCCTGCCAGGGGGAAGTGATCAAATGGCACGTAACAGAGTCTAAGTCAGAGACATCCCCAGCTCCCCTTACTAGAGAATCCACATGAAGCTGGAATTTCCCATCAGCTACATCTGTGTAGCAGGCCTAGGTCCACTTCATGCATGGTCCTTTGTTCGTGTTTCAGTCTCCTCAAGCCCTCTGGGCCCTGGTTTGTTGGCTCTGTTGGTCTTCTTGTGGGGCTCCTGTCCTCTCTAGGACCTTGTATCCTTCCGCCCACTTTAACACAAGACTACCAACACTTCACCTAATATTTGGCCGTGAGCATCTGTTTTGATCTGCTGCTGAGTAGAACCTCTTAGAGGACCTCTATACTAGGTTGCTGAATGCAAGCATAGCAGAGTATCATTAATGTGTCAGGGTTGGCTCTCTCCCATGGAGTGAGTCTGAGGTTGGGCCAGGCATTGGTTGCACCTCAGTCTCCTTTCTATCTTTATCTCTGCACATCTTATAAGCAGGGCAAATTTTGGGTTGAAGTTTTTGTGGGTGGGTTGGTATTCCCATCCCTCTACTAGGAGTCTTGTCTAGTTAGAAGGTATCTTCAGACTCCATGACCCCTGCCACTAGGAGTCTCAACTAGAGTTCCCCCTTATCCTCCCAGAAGCCTACCCTGTCTTAGGTCTGCAGCTTGTCACCGAGATATTCCCACCCACAGTTTCTCTTCTCTCCGCAAGCTACTCAGGAGCTTCATCCAGAAGAAGACTAATTCTTTCTCCCTCAGCTGTCATTAGTTATGTGTAGATTCCTCCTTTTTTTTCTCAACATAGTATTTCTATTGATTTTTTTGAGAATTTCATGTAATACACCCTGATCACACTTTTTAGTCCTGCTAGGGGAAATAATGAAAAAGTAGCAATTAAGCTGAGGTTGTGGAGAGGAAGGCAAAGTAGAAGAGGGAATATTGGAAAAGATAAATCCCTAAAGACCTTTAAAAACACATATAGAGACCTACTATTGTAGAAAATTTTTATATTTGCATAGAAAGTTAAAATGGAGTTTTCCCATATCAGAGTCAACATTACCCCTTCAAGACAAATAATTAATTAATAAAAAGGCTACATAGGCTGTGGCTGATGTTTCTAGGCATTGGAAGGAAGTCACTCTTGCTAAAGATGCCATGCATTTCAAACACAGGACTCAAGATTCAAGCTGAGCCTGAGAATCTCCCCCCTGAGGACTAGCTTTCCTAGTACCCGAAGCCGATATGCTAGCTGCCAAGGGAAGGAACCAAACAAAGGTCCAACACAGTCAGTGTGCCTCTGAGTCACAATCACAGCAAGATACTTCTAAAAGATCAACACTGGCACTCATACCTTGGTAATAACCAAAAGCTCTCTAGTTATACTTACGGCCCACTCAAAGTGAAGGAAATCATGCCTGGTACTGGAACTCAGCCAACAACCCATACCTAGTGAAGTCGTGGATCTTAGATGAGAACATACAATCATCATTTTACTAGATCAGAACAATTCTTAACTGCTTTCTAATTGCTTATTTTTTACTCCCACAAATTAATTTATCTCTCATCACATCACCCATGAAAAAAACTTCTCTTTGCAGCAGAAAACCACAACTGGTTAAAATGGATGGGACAAGTCATGGAGTACCTGTACCTGAGGCTCACTGAATGATGAAAAAGAGAGGCTGGTAGTTTTGTAAGAGTGGAGGATCAGGGAATCTGCTGTGAGATTACATTTCTTAGAAATGATAGCATATCTACCCCTGGTACTGGAAAATATGGCTACCTAAACCAGACTGGAAACAATGGCAACAGCAATAAGCATGCTAACAGAGAATGGGGAAATTAACAGGTTCCACTCCTACACAAAACCCACAGCTACCAAGGGCCATGTTGATGTTTGTGGCCTATGCAACCACCTGAGGCCATGCTAATGTCTGTGGTTCTGCTGCAGCCGAGGATGTATTCTTTTTAATAAATTATCTGTGTCTTTACAATTTGTAGTTTGGTGTAACATAAACTTTTTAAAGTATGTCCTTATGAAATTTTGAATTTTCTTAGTCTGTTAAGATGTTTTCTTTTTCCTCTCTAATTGTATTAATCTGCATCTTTTCTTTTGGTTAGTTTGGTTAAATATTTGTCAATCTTGTTAATATTTTCAGAGTACCAATTTCTTATTTCATTGATCTTTTGACTTTTAAAAAATTTTATTTCTAGTTCATCAATTTCAGCCCTGACTGTTATTATTTATCTCTTCCTATATATGTTGATTGTTCTTGTTTTTCTCTGACCTTCAGGGACATCATTAAGTTCTCAAATCATTTGGTGTAGAAACATAGTGCTATAAATGCCCTCTTATGACTGCTTTCATTGTAGCTCAATTTTGGTATGTTGTATTTTCAATTTCATTGATATAGAAAAATGTTAATACCTTTCTTACTTCACCCAAATTTGTCTCAGTATTGTGTTGTTTAACTTCCATAGGTTAGTGTACTTTCTGTCTTGTATGGTGTCCAGAGAGAATGGGGCATATGACTTCTATTTTCCTGCATTTGCTGAGATTTGTTTTATGTCTTATTTTGTGGGAAGTTCCATGGGCTGCTGAAATCCTTTATCCTTTAGTGTTTGGGTGAAATGTTTTGTATATTGAGTCCATTTGATTTCATGATGTCATTTAATTATCACAATCTCCTTATTTAGTCTACTTAGTTGTTTTATAGATAACCTGTCTATTGGTTAAAATTGAAACCACCCTCTGTCACTGTTTTGGGATTTATCTGTGATTTTAAGTCTTCTTTTATGAAACTGGGTCCCCATTTTTGGTGCATATATGTTTAGGGTTGTTATATACTATGCTTGAACTTTTCTATCAATGAGGATAAAGTATTCCATCCTTACCTCATCTGATTTGTTTTGGTTTAAAGTCTGTTTTGTTAGATATTAGAATATTACAGCTGCTTGTTTCTTGGTTCATTTGATTGGAATATCTTTTTTCCATCCTTTTATCCCATGCTGTTGTGTATCATTGGTCACGAGGTTGTGTTTCTTTTTTGAATTTTATTTTTTTATATTAATCACAGTTTATTTACTTTGTATCACAGCTGTAGCCCCTTACTTCATTCTCTCCCAATCCCACCCTCCCTCCCACATCTCTTCCTTGCCCATCTCTAAGTCCACTGATAGGGGAGGTCCTCCTCCCCTTCCATCTGACCCTAGTTTATCAGGTCTCATCACAATGTGGCCAGTCCTGATGAGGTTGTGTTTCTTAAAGGCAGCAACAGGATGGATACTATTTTCTGGTCCAATCTGCTAGTTTGTGTGTCTTTATTGGTGAGTTGAAGACATCAATACGAAGAGTTATTATTGAAAAATGTGTATTAAATTCTGTCATTTTGTTGCTGTTTTGGTTGTCTATTTAATCTCTTTGATTCAGTGTTCAGAAATTGTTTCTAATGCCTTCTTGTGCATGTTTAACCGTGTAGAGGAATTTTAATCCTGAAACACTCTCTGCCAAGGGATCATATCCAAAGAAAGGCCTTCTAGGTCTGTGTGACCCAGCTGGAATACACTTTTAATTCCAGAAGACAGAGACAAGCAGATCTCTGAGTTCAAGGCCAGCCTGATATAGAGCAAGTTTCAGGTAAAGAAAAGCTTAGGTTCTTTAATCCTGGCACTCAGGAAACAGAACCAGGCAGATCTCTGATTCATTTCTGTTCAGCCAGTTGAAACCAGTGCAGTGGAGTTGAGTCAGGAGTTAGGAGCGAGTCATACAAAAGACAGTGCCGTGGAGTTGAGTTCATGGCACTTCAGTTGGTGGAATTCAGAGGCAGTTTTTACCAGGACAGTTTTACAGAGACTATTTCCAGAGAGACAGCAACAAGCTAGACACAGGTGAAGACAAAACACGCAAGAGAATGAGAAAGAACGAGAAGATTAGAACAGATTGATATAGTTAGCTTGAGGCCAAGTGCAGAAATTCACTCTGAAGCCAAGAGAAGAAAGATTGAATAAGTCAGCTTGGAGAGGAATTTGAGGTAGAACATCTGAATTCAAATAGCCATCCAGAGTTCAAAAAGATCTAGAAATGGTGAGTTTATTCAGTAAATAAGTCTCAGAGTCTGAAAACATTCTAGGCCTAGATTAGATTGTATGGAAGTCAGAAGCTTTCAGGACTAGGCCTAAATTAGCAGACAAAGGCAGTAAGCCTCGGAGATGACAGTTATATCAGGCAAATAAAACTAAGTATTTCTCCCAGTAGCTTCTGTAGAACAAGATTGCTGGTCCTAATTTCTTTAAATCTTTTTGTCTTGAAATATTTTCTTTCTCTGTAAATTATAACTTATATCTTTGTTGTATATAGTGGTCTGGGTGATATTTTTGGCCTTCCATAAATCATAGAACATTGGTCCCAATCCTTTCTGGGTTTTGTTGTCTTCCTTGCAATGTCTGCTGTAATTCTAACGGGCAGGTTTTGTATGTGAGTTGATCTTTTTATTTCGCTACTTTCGCTATCCTTTCTTTGCTGTGTATATTTAATATTTTGACTATTATGTGCTGAGGGTAGTTGTTTTTCTGCTTCTCTCTCTTTGTTGCTCTCTATGCCTCTTGGAACTTGACAGGCATCTTCTTTCATATATAAAGGAAGTCATCTTGCATTGTTTTGATGAAAATATTTTCTGTTCCTTTGGCCTGGGTCTCTTCCTCTTTTTAAAGCTATTTTTTCACAGGTTTAGTTTTCCTATGGGTCCTCAACATATTTTTATTTTTTTTCCACTTTTGGATTTGATATTTTCTTTGACTGAACAACTTTTCTACCTTGTCTTAAAGTCCTGATACTATCTTTTTCACTTGTCCCTATCTATTGATAAGGCATTCCTCTGATTTTTTTTGTCTGAATACTTGAATTTTTCATTTGAATTCTTGAAATTTTCATTTTAAATTTTATTTCATTTTGGCTTCCTCCAGATATTCTATCTCTTCACTAAATTTTGTTTTCATATCTTGAATTGTTTTCATCATTTCATTTAACTATTTGTTATTTTTCTGGTTTTCATTATGGCATTCGTTAATATACTCTGAGTTCTTTGATAATGTTTATTATTGATATTTTGATACCATCGGCCTGTACATCATTTAAGTAGCCTTTCTAAGGGACATTACTCTGGGAGAACTACTTTTTAATAGAGACTTATTGTTTTGGTTTATTTAGGTTTGTGTTTTTGCAATGGGAGCTAGACACCTGGAGTTAGGTTTCTTATGGAAACCCCATCTTTCTATTGTTGGATGAGTGCTTTAAGCTCTGTTTCTTGTCACTGTAGCTTGTCAAGTGGTCATCCATTTGTATGGGCTTAGGGTTTAGTCTGTAGGCAATTCAGTTTAAATGTTGAAATGTAATATCAGAAATAGTCCTGGCTCTGCTCCAGCCAAGTAAAGTTTCTAAGCTCAGAAGCAAACCCTCTGTAGGACTTAGTGGATTTTTTTACACTTAATCTTCAGGAGCATGATAGATATGCTTTGGACTTTCCTCAGGCAATGGGTTTTGGTAAATTGTTGGTATTGGGCTAGCATCCTTCTTTGAAGAGGCAATCCTTAGGTGTAGGGAGTGTGTAGTTGGCAGCATCAATATTGTGTCTTCTAGAGAAGGGATCAGATGTGCCCAGTAAGGATGAGTGGTTTCGCAAGAGTGGTTAGAGTTGAGTTGGGAGTGGGCAATATAGTGGTTAGAGTTGGGGTGGGTATGCATGGCAGGTGTGAATGGCATTGAAGGCTGCTTAATTTGGGCCTCTATACCATAAAAGATTATGTTCAAAGTGTTATATGAACAACTTTCTGAAGTTTGGTTTAGTTATCACTAGTTGTAGTGAAATTTTAATGATTAATCTGTTTCATAACATTAAAATATTTTTGTACTGACTTTCAGGTATTACAGTTCTTTGGTTGTCACTATGGTTCATCACATGGTATTACTATTTTTTGCTTTTTATAAGTTTCTTCAGAAATACATGTAAATATTAATTGACTTGCTTAGTCTTTTTTTTTAAATCAAAACTTAAATTTAAAATTTAAAGTTAATATTTAAAGTGATAAGCTTCATTATGATATTTTCACACATATGTATCATTATGTATCTTTTTAGAAAGCATATGCCATTAGGATATTTGCTTGCTATTAGCATAGTTATAAGGAAATAAAACCAGGGTTTTTTTTTTTTTTTCCTTCTTTTCCTCCTCCTCCTGTAATTTTTTTTTTTCTAAAACAGCATTTCATCCAATGGGAAAAAAATACTGTTTTAACTCTTTCCTGTAACATTAACATATTTATATTCAAATTCAAACAATTCATTTATTTTTTTATTTAAGTAGAATACATGAAAAAGGAACTTCAAATATGTTTATGAAGGTTTTTTTTTTATTTCATTTGACTTGGCTTAGGTTGGCTTGTGTGCCTCTTGAGAAATACAGTGGTAAATATACATTTGCTAGAAGTACATTTCCATCAGCTGGTATCCTCACTACTAATTTCCTGCATTTATTCATGTGTAGGGGCGTACTCATTTGTAGATATGCAGGCTTCAAATGTAATTCTGTTATTTTGCTACAGAATGTCTGAGAAATATAAGATGAATCAATATTCAATTTCTGTTTTCTCCATTCAACCTCAAATCAGGATGGAGATCCTGTTCGCCCAGGTGTGGCCATGACTGATCTTGCCACTGGCCTGTTTGCCTATGGAGCCATTATGGCTGGCCTCATACAACGTTACAGAACTGGAAAAGGACTGTTCATTGATTGTAACCTACTGTCATCTCAGGTACCGATCCATATAAGATAACAATGCATTTGGGATAGAATCTAATGGTCACTAAAATAAAAAAAGCAAACCACCCCCATATATTACTTTGTTTTGATGTATTTCCTTTTGTATCATAATTAAAAATCATGATGATTATGTTATAATTTACACACTGTTGAGTTAGAACTCCAGGTTCTCCTGTGCTAGAATGGTTTCAGTACTTCTTATGAGACCACAGTACAGTCACCTCTGTTTCACTGCCATATGAGCTCTGTAATTGCGGTTGATGTCATTTCTTCACCTTTTATGTGCCATAAACTCTTGTGAGTCTGGTGAAATATGTGCACCTTATATTGGGATCATATTTTTAAGTTCATAAGATGAGGTAATTGGATTACAAAAGAAAAAGTTATGTAGAAATATACTTATCTCAATGTCAATGTAAAAATCATTTTTGTGTTATAATATATGACTTTTACTAACATACGGCAGTTTATGGAAATTGAACTATGCTAGATAAACACTCTGCTCATATGCTGTGTTCCAAGCCCTCTCTTTATCTTCATTTTGAGACAATCTCACTCAGTTAACTGACCTTGAACTCAAATGATATCCTAGGGAGACTTTGAAATGGACATCTTTCTGCTTTAGCCTCTGGTGACATAATAGTGATTATAACACCATTAAAATTTTTGATGTAATGTTGAGAAGAAATTATATCTCAAGAAATATGCAGTACATAATATGATATGAAAGGATGTATAAAATTATCAGTGATCAAGTTATAGATATTGCTAATACTCTGGTGGTTTCATTGCCTGTGTTTATAATTGCTCAGGTCAGAGGCTGATGAAGATATAAGGATATCTTTTTGTACATTCTTGCTTTTTAACTCCTAGAACTCTGTCCAGAGACTACAGACTAACCTCCCTGTTTAGACAGTTACTGTTACACGACTGTAGACACAAGAGTGGTGAAACAGAAGGGTTAATTCACATCTAACATGACATTTTGCCTCCTTTACTGGATCGGACCCAGATGCTGTACCATATGTGGAAGTTGATTCTGAATAGATAATTTTTTTTCAGAGATAGAAAAAAAAAGAAAATACCTAATTTGTTCAAGGAGACATTTTACTGTGGGAAAATTACTTTCTAGACATAGAGATCTCAGTTGGGAATTTCAGATTTAAGTGGCATACATGGGAAAATAGTAAACTTGGAACACTACATTGGAGACTTTTTTCTCTTAGGCAAAATTAAGGAGGTGTGTACAGATAAAAAAGTCAGTACGGTTGATGGTGAAAGAGTGTGTATGAGTTTTTAACAGCAACTTTGAATCACTGTCAGGATTTTAATGGTTTTATAAAAGGATAAAAGAACTCTCTTCAGATGAGTTATCTTGCTGCTCCACAGAAAGCCACAGATGGTAGTGATGGGAAGAAACTAAAAGTCTTTTATTTCTCTGTGTTAATAGCTGTAATGAGCCTGAGGTAAGTTAAGTAAGCAAATAAAATATATGCAATAAGTATGGAAGAGATGAATGTTTCATAGGTGTGTGATATATGTAATCCTACAGGGTTTGGGGCTTACTCTGTAGCTCCTACTCTCCTTGTCTTGAAATGCTTAACATTTCTTAACAAAAGATTTTTTTTAATTATTCATTTTTCACCAAGCCTCCTAAATTATGTAGGTAGTCATAGAGTATGGTCTATACTAGCTTCTTTACTTTATACTTCAATCATTAACTGATACGTTAACTTTCAAAACAATTATCCATTATGGTATAGAAGTTGAAAGATCCTCTAGAACTGCACTGATGAATTCCCATGTGGAATATATTCTCACCTGGAAGACTGCCTCAAAATGAGGAAACTCAGGCTCCCCTCCCCCACATATTCCTTCCTTCCTTCCTTTTTAAAAAAAAATTGTATTAGTTTGTTCACTTTAAATCCTGAGGATACCCCTCTCTCCCTCTCTGCCTCCCTCCCTCCCTCTTCCTTCCTTCCTTCCTTCCTTCCTTCCTTCCTTCCTTCCTTCCTTCCTTCCTCTCTCACTTTCTCTCTCTTTCTTTCTTTTATTATCTTCCCCTACAATACATCCTGACCACATTCTCCCCTCCTTCCACTCCTCCCAGTCCCCTCCACCACCACCACCCCTGTCCCCTAGATTCACTGCTCATCCAGGTCCCTTCAGAAAAGAGCAGGCTTCCCTGTGTTATCAACCAAAGAATACATAACAAGATGCCATAAGACTCAAACCCATATATTAAGGCTGGAAGGGGCAGCCCAGTAGGAGGAAAAGGGTCCCCCAAACAGGCAAAAGATTCATTCTGCTGATAGGAGTCCCATAAACATCCTAAGTTGAACAACAACAGCATGTATGCAGAGGCACACAGATATTTATTAAGGTCATTAATGTGTGTGTGTAGGCATGGTGTACATACTGATTCTTTTTTTTTTTTTCATAGTGATTCTTGGTACTGTAAGCTCCAGTAGTCTAAGGAAAATGTGTTTTTGTGCTTTTCACAGCATCTTCAATGGTCAGTCCAGTATTTGTCAAGTATCAAGCTATCAGTGATATTATACTTTAAAAGAGAAATATCTTCCATAGGCTCATGTATTTGAAAATTTAGTTCCCAGGTGGTGGCACTGTTAGAGAAGGATATGGAGCCTCTGGAAAGTAGAATCTTGCCAGAGGAAGTGTGTCTTTTGGGGACAGGCTTGGAGGCTTTATAGCCCCATTTTCTGTTCTCTCTCTGCTTCCTTATTGCTAACACAAGGTGACCTGCTAGGCTCTGATCCTTTCGCTATACCTTCCCCTCCTGCTGACATGCCTCCTTCTCTGTGAAGGAGTGATCCCCTGTAACTGTTAGCCAGAATAAACATACTTCTTCCCTTAAATAATTTCTTCTCAGATATTTCGTTATGGCAGTGAGAAAAGCAACAAACACTGAAAATTGGTACCAAGAAGTAGGACTGTTGCTTTTATAAACTTAATCATATAGTTCTCAGGCACTGGAACTGGTTTATAGAAGGAGTGCAGACTGATTTGGAACTTTGGGCTAGAAAATACACAGAATGCCACGAGAGGAGTTTAACGGGCCATTTAATTCAGAGGACTGGAGTGATAAGTGATGGGCAGACAGTGGAGTAGGGCTACTGAGATCTAGAAGTGGACTTGCTGTAATTACATCTAGGAAAAAAGAAATTTGGCAGTGTTCTGTCCACGGGGTGAGAACTTGTGTGAGGATGAGTTAAGAAGTAACAGACTCATTTCATTAGTAGAAAACATTTCAAGATAGCACAGCATCCAGTCTGTGACATGGCTACTTCTCACTGTTTTCATTTAGATTGTCAATGAGAGCATAATGATGAAAAACATAGCAAGGAAAGTTGTGTGAGCTAATTTAAAATTGTGGACAAGGAACAGAACATTCAGAGGAAAAAAAAACATTTATAATTGTTAGATTAACTTCACTGTCTTCAATAAGAAAAGTGCCCTGAAGGCAAGACCCCACGCATCAAAAGCTTCAATTTGTAAAAAAGCAAATTTGTTTGAAAGGAGAAAGCAGCCTGACTATGCCATGAAGTGGGTTCTTTGCTGGAAATAATTGCCTAGGAAAGTGATTTTGCAGATTCACCTATCAGGGTATACTCAGAAAACTCTACAGCCAGTTTAAATCTTGGGCTGGCAACAGAACTTGGTAGTGTGGTCTAAATGGTACTGATGGTTGCTAGTGTGAGACAAAACAGTAAAAGTATGCCTTGCAGGTTTGGAGTTCTGTTTGCAGTTAAGAATAAGTTCTTGGTGGATCCAAGATGGTGGCGATCAACACGCATCATTTCTGAGAGGCAGAGGATTTGAAACTTCGAAATTGGTCAGTGGAGGGCCAACTGAAGCTGGAAAATCGACATTGTGGCTTCCTGAAGGAGGGGGGACAGCACAGGAGCAGAGAACTCTTTGATTCAGGCCAGACACGGACTTCTCTGGGAATAGAGAGGGGCACTTTCCTTCTTCAGGCCTCTCTCTTCCTTGGAGGAGCCAAGCCACAGCGCCAGTGACACAGAACTTGGCTGCCTGAGAACAGAGACAGCTTAGGTGGGGATACTAGCACTGCAGCCTCAGCAGCCAGCCCAACCCGCTTGCCAAGCCGAGATCCGCGGTAAAAGCCTGCCTGGGTCCCACGCCTGTGAGCTGTGACTGGCCATACCGACTGTACAGAGCCTGACTGTATGGGTCACTCAGTCCCTCAGTGGTGGACAGTGGGCTGTGCAGCCACCAAGGTCCGGCGGACCTGCAAAACCACACAGGTGCACGATGCACTGAGCCATGGTACTGGCTTCACAGGACTTCCCAGCAGGCACCTGGACACCTCAGTTCCAGCTGGACTCTCAGGTACAATGGCTATAGCACCACTGAGCTGTCTGAGCACACATTTGGCTTAGTTCCAAACCTGCCAGTAGAGAACAGGAGGAACCCCTGTGCTTTATGATTTCATCTGCTAAAGAGTGAGTGCGCCCCCAAGTGCCTGCAGAGCCCCAGATCTAGCAGCCAGACATCACAAATCTCCCACCCACACATCTACTGTGGGAAACAGAGGGTCTCTTGGGACATCGAAACCCCAGCTCTGTGGCACCACCAGTGGAGTTTATGCAAATAACTCCTGGAGCTCAGTTAGAGATAAATACCAGTAGCCTGTAGGCCACTGACATATTCAGGGAATTTGCACACACGATCATCACCAGCACTTTCGATAACTTCAGCACCTGCGAGTCCTTTGGTGACTGCAAGGCACCCTTCCCTAGCATCCTGCCCCTCAAGGCAAACTTCCACACACACTCACACATACACAGTTGCGTGGATTTGTCCTTCTGCGCCTGCAGACTTCCCTCGCACAGGTACAGCTGAAACACTAGTGCACACGCTGAAATCATTGGACCTCTCTTATCTCCCTGAAGAATTCTCCAGATACCAGAGAAAGAAGGTACCAATCTGAAGTGCAGAATCCAAGAACAA